CCTGTGGGCCTGGTGAATGGCAGGGGCTCTTCTCGTGGCTGCTGCCTCAGAGGGTGTACCCAGCAGGGTTTCTAATGATCCGGCCTGCACCCCTCCCGCTGGCACTGCTGGGGTGAAGTCCTGGCCTGCATCTGCTGGCTCAGCGCAGCTGGGTGCTGGCAATCCTGCGGAGTGGATGGTAGCTGCTGTGCTGGTCACGCAGGATTCCTGGGAGGTAAAGGGTCCCTCCAGGACCCTTAAGCCCTGGGTCACCCCAGACTGGAATGGGAAACTCTAGATGAACAATAAATACCATCAGTCGATCAGTGTGAAGACACTTGCGTGTGAGCGGATTTGCCCTGGACGCCCTGGCTTGCTGGCTGGGGCTGGCATTTCTCCCCTGTACGCCCGTGGATCTTGGAAGTGGCCCAGCTGAGGTGAATTGCTCCCTGGGCTTGATTTGGGCACGGAAACGTCTGTGGGTGTCTTTCTCGAGAGGCCTGTGCCTGGGGTACCCAAGGGCGCCCACTGCCGGCGTCCACGGCTTAACGGGTGCGATGGGTGTTTTTACTCTGCTCTTGCAGTTTTCCTGCAGCCCTGGACTCGCTGTTCTTGGCCGCCGTCCTTGGCTGACGCCCTCTGCACCCTCCGATCCCCGTGGGAGGTGGGTCCACGGCAGGGAGGTCCGGCTGGGCTGGCAGCTCGGGATGCCCTGCAGGCCTGGGGGCTCCGCTGCCGCTGCCCAGGCCAGCCTGCCAGCCCGACCTTGAATGGCCCAGCTCCGCGCCCGTCTTATCTGGACAACCTCCAAGGAGCCCTTCACTTTGAAGGCTGATTTCCAGTAAGGGCCCAAATACTGCCTTTTGCTTACTCACCCTATTCCCAGTGTCCCTTCCAACTCCCCACCGACCCCAAATCAGAGAAGAGGGGTGGGGGGACGGGAGAGAAAAGGGATGGGCACCCTGAATCTCTGGGGGAGCCACGTCTGTTCTCGCCCCCTCTTCTTTTTGGGTCGTTGTCAAGAAAACTTTGTCCCAAAGCTGGGGCGGAAAGTCTGGCCCGAGGGTGGGGAAGAGCTGGGGTGCCTCACAGGGGGCCTCTGAGGACCCCGGAGCTTACTGGGCCTCGCAGGAGGGAATCCTGGCCCCGGCTCCCCTTCCACGTCTCCCGGGTGCTGCCTGGTTCCTGACGTCCTGACGTCGCCTCCTGCAGGAGGAACCAGCGCTTCTCAGCTGCCATTTTATTTTCTTCCCATTTGACCACTTTTGGGCATGCATTTAGTTCCCCCTGCGCCCTCGTATTTGAAACATTAAAGTCACGGTTGAAATAATGAAACCGACACATCCCCTGTGGCAGAAAGCCCATTTCAGGGAAGGCGGGCAAAGTGGGGCTGCACGGGCCTTGCAGAGGGAGGCCCAGCGTGAGTGCCCAGATGCCGTGCGGCCGGGTGTGGTGCGGCTTTCTGGACTGGGAGCCACTCACGGGCGAGGTCAGCCCAGAGGCTGCAGCTGGGAACGTGGGCGAATCACCCCATCAGGGCCACGTGAGCCCTTGAGATTCTGCCCAAAGCTGTGCTCCCCGAGTCTCCCATCCCTCTTGCGGCCCGAATGTGTGGGTGACGGGTGCCCACGACGGCCGCGCTGGCCCTGGTCAGACCGGTGCTGTGGACAGCCGCTCTCGGCGCCCCCGTGCGCTGGGGAAAGCAGTACTCTCCTCTGGGCTTGCTGACTTGAGTTCTCTGGCCAGCGGTTCTCAAAGTGTGGGGGATCCATCCCCAAGATCTGCCCTCCGGCTCCGGCCTCCCGGTGGGCCGAGCAGGGGCAAACCCCGAGAGCCTCAGCCCTTTACCGCTTCCCTGTGGCCCGTCCCCTGCCCGTGGCTTCGTCGCCGTCTGTCCCAAGGACAAGCTGATTCGGGACGCATGCGGTGCTGGCCATCACCTAGGTCGCGCTCCCCAGGTCTCCTGACGGGCCCAGAAGCCCACCGAGAAATGTGCAGCGGGAGCAAGACAAAAGGAAACTTACTTGTTTTTAAAGAAAATTACATGATGTTAAAACAAGGGAAAAATATGGCCACCGAGAAAAGCAGAAGCACCGGGAAATGTTACCAAGGGGAGGCCTTTCGGGGTCGGGGCGGCCCCTGCGACGGAAGGGCCGGCTGTGCAGGAGACAGCAACGGGCGGCCCACGGACCAGCATTCCCGGGAGCCGGCAGGGCGGGAAGGGCCTGTTTTGGAGGGCGGGGGAGGGGACCTGCAAGCCCGCATGCCAGCTGGCCGGGGTGCCTCCTGCTTGTGATTCGGAGAACACCGTGTTGATCCTGCACGTCAGTCTGTGAAAACCAGTGGGTGCTCTCCGGGCAAGCAAGGTCGCCGACAGCTCTGCTCCGTGACCCCGCGCTCCGTGCGGCCCAGGCCAGGGCGGGCGGTCAAGCTTCCGCAACCACCCCATGGAAATCCTCCATCACGTCACCTTTGACTTTGCGTTTTGAAAGAGGAGCTTGACCCTGGCAGGTTGGGGTCCCACCCCAGGTGCCCCCCACCTCCTCCCAGGATGGGCGGTGAGCTGACCGGGAGCAGGAGAGCACGAGGGGGAGGTCATGGGACAGTGGGCCCTGTGCCCCCTGTGTGGCCACGCCAGCCCCGGGTCGGCGAGTGCCCGGAAGCTTTGACACTGTCGTGCGCTTTCGGGACTCCCCCACCCTGCCCCCAACTTGGGGTCAGGTCGAGAGCCTGCGTGGGGGGCAGGGAGCCTTGTCACCGTGCCATGTTGTCAGAGACAGAGACAGGTGATGACTCATCTCCCTGCAGGCCGCGGGGAGACAATCAAGCCCGAGTTCCCAGCACTTCTAGCCGAGTTGCAGGTTGACAGAAAATAATCTCTGAACGCTGCTCATATTTTAAAAACGCGGCCGGGATGCCTTCTGCCTGGCTCGGTCTGTACCGAGACCGCTGGGGGCGCAGGCCGTCCCGCAGAAAGGACGGGCGTCCCTGGCCGCTGCGTCTCGGGCTGGCACGGGGGAGGCCCGCGCGTCTCCGGCTGTGTGAGGTGCGGCGGGCACAGCCTCAGGGGCGGAAGGGCTCACACGGTCCCCAGACACAGGAGCCCGCGCTTGCCGCTGGGGAGGGCCTGTGGACGGCTGGGCTCCCTGATTGCGGAACCTCTCGTCCCGTCTCTGCCGATTCCGCCCCCTCGGGCCTGGCCCCCAGCTCGACAAGCCAGAGTCCCTGGGATTATGCAAGTTGGGGGGATATTTTGAAAAAGGGTATTTTTCAAGGTAGTTAAAAACCAGTAAAGCAGAAACCCACTTCCCCTTGCTCTTACATCAGCGGCTCTTAACCGGGGGTGCGTTCTTGGCCCCAGGGACCTGGGCAGTGTCTGCAGACACCGGTGGTCTCACAGCTGGCGGGAGCTGTGCTGCCTTCTAGAGGGCCGAGGCCAGGGCGCTGCTCGGGTCCCCAGAGCCCAGCCCCAGCCCCCAGGGAAGGCCGTCCAGTCCTGAAGGCCACGGTACCAATGAGAAAGGAAACCTTTCAAAAACTGCTCACTGCTGTTCTCCAGCAACAACCTAGCATTAGCTTTCTAGAAGCTTCCGTGAGTCAGCGTTTGCAGTGTTAACTTACAGGAACATGCCTCCCCAACGGAGACGAGAGCTGTTTCGATTATAAAACCTTAGCGTCTTTACAAAGGGGAGCAGAGTGGGGTGCTGGGAACCGCTGGGGGGCTTGTGGGGTCCCCAATCTTGACTGCATGGTGGAATCTCCAGGAAGCTCACGAAAACCCCGTAGGCAGGATCCACACCCCAGAGGCGTGAAGTCCAGCTTGCAAGGACATGGAGGTGAGCGGACGCTGCCGAAGGAGACGCATCTTCCTTGCCTCGCCTCTCGTAGCTACTGCTCAGCGGCGGCGACAGGGAACTCGGGGCACACTTGGGCCCACGGTCCGTGAGACGGGTGGGAAGGCGGATCACTGCTGCGGGGAGAGCTGCTGCTGGAAGGCTTCCTCGGGCACTGTGTGCGGGAGAGCACGCAGGACGGACCCCACGGGGGAGACCGGGACACCCTCAGATACAGGGGAGAGGTTGCACTTTCCGGCACCTCATCCCGTAGGCGGAATTTCAAAGCAGCGTTTGGTGACTTGGGGAAGTGTCTGTGAGGCCAGCTGACAAAATCAGGAGGTGAAGCTACTTCTACAGCGTGAACCCAATTTTAGAGTCACCTCCGTTAACCCCCAACTCCCCATTTGGAAGGAGAGGCGCGGGGCCGGCGGACGGCAGGGGACGCCTGCGGCTGTGCGCGCGAGGGTCTCCGGGCGTGTGTTTGTGGCACAGAACCTTGGCTTCACGGTCTATGGGGCAGGTGGTCTTCCCAGAGTGAGTTCTCGAGTATGCACGTGTGAGGCGGGGTAAAGGCGTCACAGGGCAGAATGAGGGGCTCCCGGGCCCCCAAACCTGCCTCTTCCACATGGCAGCATCGAGACACACACTCTGGCGCGTGGGGCCTCCGTAGGAAAGAGCTTGGTACCGCGTGTGCAAGACAGACGGACAGGATTGATAAAACCGTCTCCAATCAGCCCCCAAGGTTGCCCATCCCCTGGGGTAAATGCCCCCGAACAGGGGTGGCCCAAAGCAGGGCCCCTGAGGCCCAAGGGTGCCCCACGTCTCAGGCTCCTTCGGGGGGGCCCACAGGACAGGGGCAGCAGGGGCCAGGCGGGGCAGGAGGGGCCAGGCAGGGCTGGGGGCCAAGGAGCAAAATCCGATCCGAGCAAGACAAAGGCCGCCGGGGTCACCTCCCCACGGGCCTCTGTCTCTGCCAAGTCCCTGCCTGTCCCTGAGTCCCCGGGCAAGCCAGGCTGGCCTCTTCCCCTGTCTCTGCCCCACGGGCCTCCCCCAGGTCCTCTCACCACCCCCGGTTTCTCCTCCCAACGCTGGGAGGGTCAGGGATGGGAACCTCCCTTTTCTGTGGGGTCACCCTGTCCCGAAGGGGCGGAGCTGCCGGGCCCCCTGCGTGCTGGCCAGCAGGACCCCAGAGGCCTCTGGTTGCCTTGATGGGCAGGTCGGCTGCCCATCGCAGAGATGGGGTGCAGCCTCCCCTCTCCGTCCTCCGGGTGTGCACACTTTGAGCACCCAGAAATCCCAAGAGACCCCACGTGGGTCCACCCAAAGCTCGGATGGCCCTACAGCTTGGGTCTGGGGCTCCCTGCTCCAGAGGCCCTACCCCCGTCCTGCCCGCCCCTGCACCCCATGCGCATCCCCCTCCAAGCCCCAGGACACCCCGGGACACGGCGGGCGCTGATGCGCAGCTCTTAGGAGGTCGTCGGTAGCTGCGAGGCGGCGCGGGCTGACCCGAAACAAAGACCAGGTTGGGGCCTGCCAGCCCGGGCCGCGGCACGTGACCTATGGGGGCGGGGCGGGCTGGGGGGCTAGGGCTGCAGCAGGGAGGGGGAGGGGAGGGCTGGGGAGCAGAGGAGCAGGCTGGAGGGGGATGGGCTGGAAAGTGGGGGAAGGGCTGGAAAGTGGGGGGATGGGGTGGAAAGTGGGGGGAAGGACTAGGAAGTGGGGGGATGGGCTGGAAAGTGGGGGGATGGGCTGGGGAGCAGAGGAGTATGGCTGGAGGGGGAAGGGCTGGAAAGTGGGGGAAGGGCTGAAAGTGGGGGCATGGGGTGGAAAGTGGGGGGACGGGCAGGCAAGTGGGGGACTGGCTGTGAAGTGGGGCGATGGGCTGGAAAGTGGGGGGGACGGGGTGGAAAGTGGGCGGATGGGCTGTGAAGTGGGGGACATGGTGGAAAGTGAGGGGACGGGCTGGGGAGCAGAGGAGTATGGCCGGAGGGGGGAAGGGCAGGCGAGTGGGGGGAAGGGCTGTGAAGTGGGGGGATGGGCTCTGAAGTGGGGTGACGTGGTGGAAAGTGGGGGACGGGCTGTGAAGTGGGGGGATGGGCTGGAAAGTGGGGGATGGGCTGGAAAGTGGGGGGATGGGCTGGAAAGTGGGGGACGGGCTGTGAAGTGGGGGGATGGGCTGGAAAGTGGGGGGACGTGGTGGAAAGTGGGGGATGGGCTGGAAAGTGGGGGACAGGCTGTGAAGTGGGGGGATGGGCTGGAAAGTGGGGGACGGGCTGTGAAGTGGGGGATGGGCTGGAAAGTGGGGGGCGGGGTGGGGGAGGGGGCATGGGAAGGCAGAGCGGGCACAGAGGTGCCCCAACCCCTCTCCGGAGACGCATGAAGATGCAACAGCCAATTTAAAAAAAACACGACAGACCAGCCGGTAGAGATGAGGCTCCCCGCAGCCCGCGGCCAGTGCCGGGACACACTGGGCTCTGCTGGGCTGGAAATTGCACCCAGGCAGCCTCCCGAGGCTTCACGAAGGGCTCCAGAAGACACGCTCCAAACGGGGTGGCCGAGGGGGGCAGACGGCCGCCTGCTGGAAATGCCTTTATTTAACTTAAATGAAAATTGCTTCATAATAAACCGGCCCAGCCGTTGGAGCATAACAGGAAGTGCTGCTTAAAAAAAAACGTGAAAAAAAACCCTAGTCCAGGGCCTGGAGGGTGGCCGCAGGGAGGCGGGGCGCAGCACGGGGCTGCCCACAGGCTAGTGGGGTGACCTTTGCAAAGCTGCTGGCCCCAGGCTGGCCTGGACAGGCAGCCCAGCTCGCCCCCCTCATCTGCAAACAGCCCCAAGCAGGTACCTTGTGTCCCCCGGCCCCCAGCAGCCCCAGACTCAACCGACTAACACACCACACTGAAAAGACACCCCACACCCCCCAGAACCCAAACACACCCCGAGCCACCCAACTGCGTCAGCTGCCGGGCTGCTGTCCTCCGAGCGCCTGGCTATTTTCTGCTCCCTCCAGACGCTGGCAAGGCCTTGAAATGCCACACATGGCTTAAAATGGCGTGGCGCGGGGGGCTGGCACGGGGCCTCCACAGTCTGTTCGCAGCACGTGCAGCCAGATCTGGGGCCCCTCCAGGGCTCCTGCCCCAGGTTTGCGGCATCCCTAAGGGGTTGGGGCTGGCTGGCGGGGAGCAGCACCGGGAAGGAGGAGGCAGGGCTGGGGGGCCCGGCAGCTGCCCTGGGTCCCTGAGCCGCTCCCCTGAGCTTTACAGCAGGCCCCCACACCCATTTCAGCCTGGAGGGAGAGAAGTCTCCAGCATTTAAACGGCCTGGCTGTAAAAACTGGAAGAAACCTTTAAAGGGCGCCAGAAACCCCATGATTCTAGAGGGTCTGCGTTCTGCGGCTGGGTGGTGCCTTGGTCTGCGTTAGCTTCTGGGGCCTGCAGAAGCCCCCAGCCGGTGCTGAGCCCTTGTGATCTGACAGCCCTGGGGTCACCCAGGTTGGGGAAGGGCTGCTTGCTCCGAAGCTGTGCCCTTGGGATGCAGAAAGCCATGGCCAATGGCCCTAGGGCTCATGTCACCTGTTACAGACCTCTCTTCCCAGGAGCCAGGGGCAGGCTGCGTGGGATTTTGGAAGGTGGGTTTTGGAAGGTGGTCGTGCACCCCGGCAGGTTGCAGAACTCTTGGGAGGCTCAATAAGGGACAGGGACTGGGGGCTGTGTGTGTAAGGGCCAGGCTGGCATTCCTCCTGCACCCTGGCCTGAGTGTACCCGCTGGCCTCTAACACCCCATCTTTGCTGACTGGGGGAGCAGGGGGCAGGGCAGACATGGTGTGGCCGGTGCCACCTGGGTCATTGGTCCGTGTTACAAAAGTTTTACATTCTCTGCTCTGGGAGATGAGAGATTTGTTTCCAAAGATTCTGCTTCACCCAAGCCCCAGGGGCTGAGCTTGCTGCTGGACTTGTGTCTCAGGGGCCCAGCACTGAGAGGGCCTGGCACCCCGCAGGAGCCCAAGGTGTGTCTGTGCAACCCCGTGTGGCTTTGAAGCTGTTGGTTCTATCTGTATTGAATGTGTGTGACAGAAACCGCAGCGCCGCTTGTTGTGAAATGACATAATGATTAGTGTGTCCTCCGTGTGCTGTCAGGTGGGTGTGCTGTCCAGAGGTGGCTGCTGCTGGTGGGCATGTCCTCAAGCCCTTCTCGGGAAGCTGCTGTCCACGCTCCATGTCTGACAGGGCTTTGCTTCCGGGGCTGGGCTAACCCAGGGTTCTGATGACGGTGCTCTCAGGAGCCCATGAGCGCCTTTGAATGGCCCTGGTCAGCTGTGAGTCCAGCCTTGGCCTCTGGGCAGCCGCGTGAATGATCAGCATGCTTGTCTTGAGTGTGGTGATCTCCGGAGGGCCTGGCATTGCCCCTTCCTTGGTCACCTGCGGGGAAAGCTTGCCCTGTGCCTTTGAGGGCAGTCCACTTTGCCCTGTACACCCCGAAGTGTCCATGAAGAGCCTCCCCCTGGCTTGGTTTGAGGCCAGCGTGGAGCAGGTCTGCTGCTCCCTGCCTCTGGGACTGAGTTGCTGGTCACTGGGCTCTGGCATGGGGCAGGCGTGCCTGGCATCCTCCCTGGCTTATGTAGTGTGCCCGTCTCTGCCTGCACCACACCTGCAGGGGTCTAACGAGCAGGAAGCTGCTGGCAGTTACGTATCTGGACTGAAGCAAAGCTTTGGCCTAGACTTCCAATGGCTACCTAATGAGAGGCCAAAGGTTGGGGAAAAGGGGATCGTTTATTCATCCTTTCAATCCTTTGCTTCCTTCTAAATTCTTGGGCCTTTGTTTATTTTGCTTGCCTTTGCTCCTTACTTGGGATAAAGGTTAGAAAAGAAATATAGGCAATTGAGCACAGATGGTGGGCGGGGGGGTGGTGGTGGTGAGGGAGGATAGATTTCCAGTTGTAGATTTAGGGGCCAAGCCTGGTCCACTGTGGGCTTTGCTGAAATTAATGACAAAGAGTATTTGCTTGTTTATTAAAATTTTTAAAATTTAAAATTCATTTTCTGGGGTTGCTAAGATGAGGAATGTGGAGCTAACCAGTGTAGAGAGGCTGATCTCATTAGGAGCATTTGAGCACCTGGATCTAGCCAAACCTGAAGGCCACTCCACAGACTATTCCGTTGTCTGAACCAGTGTGTCAGTTTTTATCCCCCTTAGCCCACAATTTTATTTGCTTTACTACTGAAACAAATTTCCTGGCTTATGAGAACATTAACTCTAGATTAATATTGACCGACACAATGGTATGGATATGAGAACAGGAACTCACTAGCAATCTCCCACATCAAGAACAGCATTGCTGGCTGCCCAGGCCCCTCCGCGGTCCAGCTTTCCCCACTAGCAGCGACCACGGAGGGTCAGTCCCTGGCCTAGGATGGCCTCAGCAGCATTTCTGGATGGAGCCGTGAGGCCAGGTGGGCTGGATGTATTGGCTGCATTTTCAGTGTGGGCTGTTTCCAGCTGACGATGGGTTGATGGAGGTGCCAGCCAAGGGTGATCTGTGTTTTGACTTTGGGGACGATCGCCTTCCCTTTTCTACAGGTTGGCCTCCCCCTGCACTGGGGACAGGACGCGGGCTGCACTGATGGCGCACGGTGCGTGCATTCGGGGGCCTGTCATTGTCACATGGTCTCTCTACCGTTGTATTTATCCACGAGGGGGCAGTTCCGTGCCCCTGCGTGCAGTAGGGAATGTTTTGAAGCCCATCGGCCCAGCAGAGCTCGTCCTGGAAACAAACGGAATGTCTTGTGCTGGTCTGTCTTCCCCGCCGGCATCTTTTCCGGGAATATGTCCACCTGGACACGTGTTGAGAGGAGGCTGTGTTGCCTCTGTTGGGCTAAGACATGTCCGTCCACTTGATTCTTACTGCTATTAAATGTGACAGCTACATAATCTAGGCTCACCCATGTGGCCCGCGTTGTTCTTCTGTTAGACAGCTCTGCTCTTGAGCAGGGCTTGGGAACTGTTCCTGAGAAGGCCCGATAGTAACGACTTCAGGCATCAGGCTGGGTGGAGTCTCGAAAGTTTCCTACCCCGCCTTGCAGCCAGAGGTGATGTGGACACCAAGGGTGTGCTAAGTGCCAATAAAACTTTATTTAAAAAGGCAGTGGGACACCAAGGGTGTGCTGAGTGCCAATAAAGCTTTATTTAAAAAGGCAGTGGACCTTACCTGGCTCAGGTGTTGTTGGCTGATTCTTGCTTGACAGGCACATAGGATTTTCAGGAGTAATTTCTCAATGGAGTAACTTTGTGTCTGTTAGTCTCATGGATTTGGACAGAGAAAGTGTTTAAAGTGGACAATATGACTTTCTCAAGATGGTTGCAGTACGAAGTAGGAAAATATTCATAGCAGATGGATTTTTTTTTTAATGAAGGGGAAGAGAAAACATGGATAGGGCCACTAGGCTGTGGGTCCTTGCTCCTGTTGTTAGTGTGTGATGGAGGGGTACTCAGGGACCCCAACTTGTTAGGGGGTGCACACTCTAA